CTGAGCGGCAACGTGCAGCAGCACCCGAAGAGTGGTCATCTTTGGGGTGGGGGAGAAGGTCTGGAAGAAGTCGACTCCCTCCCGTTGACTGAAGCCTCAAGCAACGTAACGAGCCTTGAAGACAGGCGGAGAACCTGGCGGCCGCTTCACCCTGAAAATCCACATGACATCGACGATGTTCGCCCCAGGAGGGGGAACCTCGTCGACGTAAGTGCCTGTGGAATTCCAGGATGCCATCTCTGCGTCCATGACTGTCTGCCACTGAGAGGAGTACTCACCCGCGATCGCCTCAGCGTAAGAACGCGGAGTCGGGATGTCTTGTGCATCTGGGTCTTCCTCACGGGCAAGCAGCATGGACACAAGATGAGGCGCAAGACACTCAAGGTCCTCCTGCCTGTCCTCAAGGACGTCCGTGCCAAGAGCACACTCACCCCCGACGGACGGAGGACAGACAGACTCAGACTCAGCGACAAGACTAGCGGCGTAGTCTAGACGACAGGCAGTAGCGAATTCAACAAGCTCAGCTACTAGGGCAGACGCAGCAGCAGACTCAAACGATGGGTCAGTGACAACAGTGGCGAGCAGATGCGTGATAGTAGGGTGAGCAGCACGGGTGCGGTCAGACTCAGGCTCTGAACCGTCAGACATAGAAGACGAAGGAAGGGACGGTAAGGGAACACGCTGCGGAGCAAAGGAAGGATGCAGGGCCATGAGGTGTGTGCCGGGGACAGCCGGCGGACGCTCACGAGGAACACGACGACCCGTACGACCAGTGCGGACAGTGCAAACAGGCAAGACAGGATGAGACGCAGGCTCACGACGCTCAGCAAGACTGCCTGCCTGCTCAGTGTAAGGAGAAGGAGTAGGCAGCGCTGAGCAAGGCAGTATCGGAAGACCAGTAGAAGACGGGAGGCTAAGAACCTGGCGAAGCATGGAGCCAGGCGGTGGCAGAGACAAAGGTGATGGTGGAGCGAAGAACAGCGGCGGCGGTGTAGTGCCACCAGCACTAGTAGCTCCAGCTCCTCCTGCAGCTCTAGAACCTCTAGCAGCTCCAGAACCTCCAGCAGCTCTTGAACCTCTAGCTCCGGCGCCACCAGCGCCAGCACCTCCAACAGCTCTAGAACCTCCAGCGCCAGCACCCGCAGTAGCTCCAGAACCTTCAGCGCGAGTGCCACCAACGCCAGCACCTCCAACAGCTCTAGAGCCTCCAGTGCCTGCACCCGCAGCAGCTTTAGAACCTCCAGCTCCAGCGCCACCAACAATAGCACCCCCAGAACCGGCACCTCCAGCTCCAGGGCCTCAAACCTCAGAATCGATAGCAGCACCTCCAGGTTCAGTAGGACCTGCAGTCCCAGCAGCTCCAGTACCTCCTGTACGAGCACCTCCGGGACCTGCTGCTCCAGGAACTCCAGAAGAAACAACTACAGTAGAAGAGTCACCAGCTCCAGCGCCTCCCGCAGCAGGGCCCCTAGCACCAGCAGCACCACCCTGACGGCTAATGTACCACTCACGCAGCTGCTATGGGGAGAGAGGGACAGCGCCGGCTCCAACGCCTCCAACACCAGCACTTCCCGCAGCAGGGCCCCCAGCTCGAGCAGTTCGACCGTGACGGCTAACGTACCACTCACGCAGCTGCTGTGGAGAGAGAGGGAGACGACGACGAGAGTGCAGCGGCGAGGCACCAGCGGAGCGACTACGGAGACGGCCGCTCCATGGAGACTGCTCACCAGACGCCTCAGCACCCCCAGGTGCAGCACCCCCAGACTCAGTACCCCCAGGCTCAGCACCCCAAGATTCCTCACGCCCAGGCTTAGCACCTCCAGGCTCCACACCCCCAGGCTCAGCACCCCCAGGCTCCGCACCCCCAGGCTCTGCACCACCAGGCTCAGTACCCCCAGAAGCAGCACCCCGAGCAGGACCACCCACAGCAGGACTTGAGTCACCAGTGACCTCAACCGGCGCAGTCAAGGGAGGAGGGTCTACCTGAGACACACCTGAAGGAGCAGGACCGGGAGCGGGGAGGGGGTCCACCTGGGGAGCACCTGGAGCGAGGAAGAGACGGTAAAAGGGAACCGGCTCATCGAACGTGACGTCCTGAGAGGGGAAGACACGGCGCGAGGTGGGGTGGTAAAACTGCCAACCAGGCGCGTCAGGGACAAAGCCAAGGAAGACACAGGGAACAGCGCGGGCGGAGAGCTTGTCCGCGGTGGTATCGCGGACAAAGGCACGAGAGCCCCAGACCCGGAACACCGACGCATCGCCAACCTTCCGCGTCCACCGCAGTGTGCGCGAGGTCTCCGGCAAGGAGACACGGGGCCAGAGGTTGAGCTGATGCGTGGCGTAGCGGACCGCAAACGGCCACAGAAAATGGGGAGCAGCCGCATGGACCATGGAGGTACGAGCGACCTCCATGACCAAGCCAATGCGGCGCTCAGCAACCCCATTCTGCTGCGGAGAGGCCGGAAGCGTGAACGTCTGGAGAATGCCCTCCCCACGACAAAAGCTCTGCAGAAGGCCAGAGGAAAACTCCCCACCTCTGTCAGAGTGCAGACGCAGGACGGGAAAGTACGTCCCGAACTGCTTGCGGAGCTGGAGACAGGCAGCGCAAATCCAAGGGACATCAGGGACCTCACCCTTGGTGCGCAAGGGGAAGACCGTGGTGTAACGTGAGTAGTCGTCAACAACCAGCAGGAAGTACCGCTTGCGGTCCTGCCCACTGACGCGGGCTGGGCCCCACACGTCCATGTGCAGGGTCTGCAGGGGAGCAGTTGTCGGGGGAAACGAGGAGTGAGGAGCGGCGCGCTGCCGACCCTCGACACAGGGAAGACAAGGAGGAGCAGGCGAGGGTGGGAGGGGAGGGAGAACCCTGGGAAGACCAGAGACAAGGACACGGTGGTGCATGCTACGAAGGCGCTGCACTGAGGGGTGACCAAGACGGTGGTGCCAAAGGAGGGTCTGGTGCGACAAAGCGCGACACGAGCAGGGGGCCGCTAGCTGACCTGACTCAGACGCAGATGCAGCGACCTGAGTGGACACAGTAGTCAGTGTGTACAGACTCGAGCCAGGCGCACGGGTAAACGTGGCCAGGTGCAGGCCCGTCCGGGAGCACGTACAGTGGGTCACGCGCTGACCTCCAGGAGTGAACTGGTCAACCCACTGGTCTTGGAGGTCAGCTCCACTCACCAAGTTCGTAGAGAACGAGGGGAGGTGAAGACCTGACAGGGAGCCAGACGGGACCGCCGGACACGGCAGGACTTTGGAGGAGTGCGCAAGGACTGGACCCCCGGAAGGGTCTGCTAGGGAGACTGCAATCGGTCGACTGAGCGGCGTGAGGGTGGTGCTATCGCGAAAGAAGGAGCGGGAAGCACCTGAGTCAAGTGTGATGGTGTACAAGGCCTTAGCAGGCGCAATACCAGAGAGAGAAGACGCACCAGCACCTGGAGTAGCAGCCTCACCAACACCTAGAGCATGAGACGCACTAGCACCTAGAGCAGCAGCCGCACCAGCACCTAGAGCAGGAGACGCACGAGCACCCAGAGCAGCAGCCTCACCAGCACCTAGAGCAGCGGGCTCTATACCTGGGTCAGGCGGTACGCACAGGTAACACGCACCGTCAGCACTAGTAGGCAATGCATACATGGCAGTGAGAATAGCATCATAGTCAAGAGCAAATATATCTACCCTTTGCCTAAGCAGCTCCAGCCAGGTGGGGAGCTCAGCCTCGTCACCAAACTCGGTACGCCAGGCGTTGCTTAGGCGGGCGAAGCAGTGTGAATTTGTGTGACTAAGCGTCCCGCAAGCTTGACCAGCCCGATCACCTGTGCGAATGACATACGGGCAGCGTGTCAAATTATAATGTTCTGTAGGCTATAGTGGGGTAGCCCATATGGGGTACACATTTCTAGGGTTGCATATTTGTATCACTTTCATTCCATAGTCATTTTTATTCTCGTTCTACTTTTCTCATGGTATCAGAGCAGGTTCCCCCGTGGGAACTGTGCCTAGGGCCCACCACATCGATTTTTTTTCCTGCCCGAAGCGCGCTCGGCCTGAGTCGCGCTACGGGCCCTCTCTCGCTTTGTCGAGCCGTCCTAGAGGCCCCGCCGCCCGTCGATTTGGCCCCGCCGCCTCACACGCGGCCCTGCCGCCCTTTGTCACGGCCCCGGCCGCCCTTGGTCGCGGCCCCGCCACCCTTCGTAGCGGCCCCGCCGCCTCTCTCGTCGCGGCCCCGCCACCCTTCTTCGCGGCCCTGCCGCCCTTCGTCGCGGCCCCTGCCGCCCTTCGTCGCGGCCCTGCCGCCCTTCGTCACGGCCCCTGCCGCCCTTCGTCGCGGCCCCTGCCCCCCTTCGTCGCGGCCCCTGCCGCCCTTCGTCGAGGCCCCGCCACCCTTCGTCGTGGCCCCGCCACCCTTCGTCGCGGCCCCGCCACCCTTCGCCGCGGCCTCGCCGCCTCTCTCGACGCGGCCCCTGCCGCTCTTCGTCGCGGCCCCGCCGCCCTTCGTCGCGGCCCCGCCGCCTCTCTCGCTGCGGCCCCGCCGCCATTCTCTACGGCCCCGCCGCCTCTACCACCGCGGCCCCGCCACCTACCTTGCGGCCCCGCCGCCCTTCACCGCCCGCTCCGCCCGAACCACCTGAGCCGCCCGAGCCGCCCGAGCCACCTGAGCCACCCGAGCCGCCCGAGCCGCCCGAGCTGCCCGAGCCGCCTGAGCCGCTGAGGAGCCGAGCCGCCCGAGCCGCCTGTGCCGCTGAGGATCCGAGCCGCTCGAGCCGCCCGAGCCACCCGAGCCGCCCGAGCCGCCCGAGCCGCCCGAGCCGCCTGAGCCGCTGAGGAGCCGAGCCGCTGGTACTGCGGAGCTGCAGTTGCTGCTGAGCCGTCTAAGCAGCAGTGTTGCCGTGTTGCTGTGCTACTGAGCTGCCCGAACCGCCCTGTCTGGTGAGAGCAGCACTTCTGTCATTGCCCTGCCCCTGTCCTACAGTCAGTACTGCTAGTCTACTGTTGTCATGGCTACCCCTAGTGTCCTAGCTTTTGACGCTGAGGGTCGCGCCATTGACTTTGAGGTCTGGGTCGACGACCTGCAGCTGTTCTTACAGTGCGATAGGGCAGACGGTCGTTCTCTCTTTGACCTCACCTCTTGCGCCTCTCCTGCCCCTGCTGCTGATGCTGACCCCACTGTTCGCTCCCAGTGGGCCACGCGCGATGCTGCTGCACGTCTTGCTGTGCGTCGCCACCTCCCTACCTCTGAGCGTGCGCACTTTAGTCAGTACAAGAGTGCTCAGACCTTGTACGACGCTGTAGTTGCACGCTACTCCTCCCCTGCCACTGCTGCACTGAGCCGTCTCATGCTACCGTACCTCTTCCCTGACCTTGCTGCCTTTCCCACAGTCGCTGACCTCATTACGCACCTCCGCACTAGTGATACTCGCTACCGCGCTGCGCTTCCTGCTGACTTCTGCGCCAAGAACCCCCCTCCCATGTACATCACTCTCTACTTCATAGTCACTCGTCTCCCTGACTCCCTTCGTGTAGTCAGGGACCACTTCCTCTTGGTCTGTCCCACCACACTCACTGTAGACCTCCTCGAGAAGTCCCTCCTAGCGGCCTAGAAGAGCATAGTCGCTGTAGGGGCCTCTCGTGGTGACCCTCGCACCCCCATCTTTGAGGGGTGTTCTCCTTCCCCCCTTTTGCCCTCTGTCGCCTGTGCCGCTGCGGCCGACCTCGTTGGTCTTGAGTCGGTCGGTGCGGCGTCTGCCCCTAGCGGGAGACGCCGCCCTGGCAAGGGCAAGGAGGGCAAGGGCGCGGGTGGAGCTAGCGGGGGCGGTGGAGGTGGAGGTGGAGGCGGCGGAGAGAGTGGGGGTGGCGGTGGAAGTGGTGGCGGGGGTGGAGGTGTCGGTGGCAGCAGTGGAGGTGGAGGCGGCGGAGGCGGCGGCGGTACTGGCGGAGGTGGAGGAAGGGACTACAGACACTACTTCTACTCCACCTCCTGCCTCTGGCCTACAGACAGAGGAAGGGACTACCACGAGACCAGCAGCTGGGTCTACGGAAACGCCCGCGGGCTTCGATCCAAGCATGATGGAGAAGTTCTTCTCCTTCATGTCCTTCTACGAGCAGCACCAGCAAGGAGTACCTGCGCAGTCAAACAACAGCAACAACAACAACAACAACGTGACACCCATGAGTCTCGACGGCTCATCCTACGCACGCGGAATTCAACAACAACAACAACAGCCTACCTTTGCCCCGTATGAGCCCCAGCGTGGCTCCGTCAGCTTCATACCGCAACCGCAATCTGCACCGGGACAAGAAAGAGCATTGGACGCATTACAAGTTCAATCGCAATTCGCGCATGTCCTAAAGCTGCAAACGACAAAGCCTTTCGACGGAAAAGACTTCTTCACCTGGTCATTCGAGTTCGAGCTGATGATGGAAGGAGCACAGATTCTCGGCTTCTTCGACGGGTCCCTGCCATATCCAACAAACGGCGCGCAATATGAGAAGCAGCAGTACACCTATCAATCAATGATGGCGTACACAAGTTTAATCGCAATTCGCGCATGTCCTAAAGCTGCAAACGACAAAGCCTTTCGACGGAAAAGACTTCTTCACCTGGTCATTCGAGTTCGAGCTGATGATGGAAGGAGCACAGATTCTCGGCTTCTTCGACGGGTCCCTGCCATATCCAACAAACGGCGCGCAATATGAGAAGCAGCAGTACACCTATCAATCAATGATGGCGTACACAATTCTGTTAAGGAACATCACCCCGACCCAGCAGCAGAACATCAGAACTTACCGAGGCTACGGCAACTCCGCGGAGCTCGCGTACAACCACCTGAAGAACCTGTATCAAGTAACAGACAGTGTAAATCAAAGCAGGTTAATGGCGCAGCTGACAACAATTGAAATGAAACCAGGCGAGAAAGGCATGGCTTATATCAGTCGCTGCCGCGAGCTGCGCGACAAGCTTCTTCGATGCAGAGGGTCGATTTCAGAAGACGTCTTTGTCACTGTGGTCATCGGCGGTCTCGGCCCCCACTAGCGCTCCACTCGCGCCATATTACGAGCACACGGGAGGATCTCCGAAGCGGCACTCTGCGCCGAAATTCATGCCGAGCAGCAGGACATGGACCTGCAAGAAGAAAGACACAAGAAGAAAACATTAGTACCGGAGTTTGCGTTTCACACTCAGCAACGATACAACAACAACAACAATTCGCAACAGCAACAAGTGAAGACAGTACCTCCGTTCTGCCACATCTGCAAGACCTCGGGTCATCCTCGTACGCACTGCCCGTCTCGTCAGCAGTCGACGACACCACATCGACAACTTCGGCCTTCAAGCTCCCAAGTCGCCTCGACGCAAGCAAATCCGACAATCCAAGCTTCAACGACTTCAACTGGACAATCTGCACAAGGAGCAAGAAACATCGTCAATTGCATGGTGAAGATAACCGATTCCTGCACAACCGAGTCACCACCTCACTACTCACCAGAAGAAGAGCTCGACAACAGCACGCCTCGCCGCGAGTCACTCCAGCCGAACCCGACGTACGCCGCCATCGCTCAAAGCGAGCCGTCTGGACAAGATACTTGGTTCTTGGACAGTTGCTGCGGACAACATATGTGCTCCTCAGGACGCTTCGTTCAACGCGAACATCGACTCCAGCGAGAAGTAGTCATCACGGTCGCCAACAATCAGAACCTGCGCACACGACGACAAGGCGTTGTACAACTTCAGTCACGAGAGACAAACGTCATACTGCACATGTCAAAGGTACTTATCGCGGAGGGACTCGGTTATAACTTACTGAGTGTCAGCCAGCTGATGGCGAAAGGCATCCACTTGGAAGCCGACAGCACCACCCAAGAGTTTAAGTTCTACCACGGGAAGGGCGGCCTCTACATCGGAAGGGCGGTCTTGAAGAACAACGTCTTCGTCCTTGACTTCGTCCCCGACCTGGGCACTGCAGACAGCGATGCCATCGTCAACTTCGCCGATTGGACACATCCCCTGGATCTCGATCCCGACTTCAGCCCGGGAGGCTTCTGGTACTCGCACACCATCTCTGAAGCAGAACGAACACGAGCGTTAGCAACAATTCAACAAACGACAGCAGCAGAGACAACATCGGCAGCAGCAGAGACAACATCGGCAGCAGCAGAGACAACATCGGCAGCAGCAGAGACAACATCGGCAGCAGCAAAAAACATCATCGGCAGCAGCAGGACCAACGACACCAGTCTTCGTCGATGAAGCACCACCAACACCCGCACAGCAGCTGAATCCGACTCAACGAGAAGCGCCAACTTCGTCGCCAGCTTCTACTCCAACTCCGACGCGTATCAACGTTCACCCGGACATCGCGCTCCTGAAGACATCTGGCACGCACGCACAGGACATCCAAGCAACACGGTGTTAAATAATACGATACGAGCAGGAGTCCTAGACAAGGATTCACTACTACTACCCGACGGCAGAGAACTTCAACGGGCACGAGGGACTTGCCTCATCTGCCCCGAAGCCGACTTACCACATCGACCATTTGCTTCTCACCACAACCCGAGCGCACCTGCATACGCACCATTCGAGAAAGTGTACAGCGACATCCTCTTCAATCGAGAAACAGGACAAGTTACCTACAACTACACGATAACCTTCATCGACGCCGCCACTCGATACGTCTGGCACCGAAACCTACCCAGCCGCGACATGGCACTCGCAGCGTTCGTCGCTTGGCTACCGGTAGCAGAGAGGGAATCAGGAACACAGCTGAAAAGCTTCCAGTCAGACGGAGGAGGAGAATACACCTCTCAGCGCTTCAAGCAGTACCTGGCAGAAAGGGGAATCAAGCAACTCCTCTCCCTTCCCTACGCCCATCAGCAGCAAGGTGTCGCAGAAAGAATGAACAGGACTCTGCAGAACAGCATGCGCAAACTGCTACGTGGCATGCGGCTACCCAACCACCAGTGGCCTGTAGCAATGGACCATGTTGTCATGCTGCACAACTTGCTGTCGTCGTCCTCACTCCCGAACAACGCATCACCGCATCTGCTGTGGACAGGGAAGCAGGGCAGTACTGACCCCCAGAAGCACGAGCGGGAAGATTTTCACAACGGGCATAGTGGGGACTACACCTCGACATCGAAAAGAATTACAACGCGTGGAAAATCTTCGACGTCCACTCAAAGGAAACAGTAGCAGCACGTGATGTGATCTTCTACGAGCGACTCACACTTCAGACGTACCTCGCCAACTTGCACGAGAATCAGGACCCCACAGGTGGCTTTCGTGGTGACCGAGCCTTCGCCTCAGCAGCGGACGAAGCAGACTGGGATGAACAGAACGTCGACAACGCATCGGAAGAAGCCGGACCTCTCCCGTTCTGCTCCGTCGACGTGCCCATGGACGAAGAAAATCCTCGCGACAGTGTCAACGACGAAGTCTTCTATCACTTCGCCGACAACGGTTACGTAACACCTGCAACAGTCAACACAAATGAAGCAGAACGGATAGGGCCGAATTTCATACCCGACCCAGAAGCGGGAGACGAAGCAGCTTATCCCGAGGATCCAACACTCCCCCGATACTCACAGACTGGACTGCAAATCCTTGGCCTCGTCACCGCAGTCCACGGCAACGCTCTTCCTAAAGAGCCTGCGACGGTTCAGCAGGCTCTGGGGGAGGAACACAGGGAGAAATGGCGTGAAGCCATGGACAGAGAACTAAAGGCATTGGAGGAACGCAACACCTGGAAGGTCGTTCCCGCAAGCGTGGCAAGGAACAAGACCATCCTCACCGGGAAATGGGTCTTCCGCATCAAAACGAAAGCAGACGGCACGATCGAGAAATTCAAAGCACGCTGGGTCGTGCGTGGATTCGACCAGGAGCACGGACGAGACTTCACCGAGACATTCGCCCCGGTTAGCCGACATACCTCCCTCCGAATCCTTCTCGCCGTTGCCGACATGAAGAAAAAGAAGCTTCGACAAATTGATGTTGCCAACGCATTCCTCTACGCACCCGTCGACGCCGAAATCTTCGTCGAGCTCCCACACGGTACCCACGGAAAACCCAATCAGGTTTGCCAGCTACTGAAATCGCTCTACGGAATCAAACAAGCCCCGCGGCTGTGGCAACAGCACCTACACACCCGCCTCACTCGCATCGGATTCCGCCAACTACCCCACCCGTCTCCAGCTCAGGCAGAGCTTTGGCTCGGACTTTCCTGTTCTGCGTCTACACTCGGACAGAGGCGGAGAGTTCTCCTCTGGCCTTCTGCGAGCCTACTGTCGTGCACGAGGCATCCGTCAGACCTTCACGCTTCCGGCCTCACCGCAGCAAAATGGGATTGCTGAGCGCCGCATTGGCATGGTCATGGACGTCGCTCGTACGTCTATGATGCATGCGGCTGCCCCCCATTTTCTGTAACCTTTTGCGGTCAGGTACGCGGCGCATCAGATCAACCTTCACCCCAGGGTCTCCAAGCCGGAGACCTCCCCAGCCCTGCTGTGGACGGGGAAGGTTGGCGATGCGTTGGCGTTCCGGGTCTGGGGATCTCGGGCGTTTGTGCGCGACTTGTGTGCGGACAAGCTGTCCCCTCGTGCTGCTCCTTGCGTCTTCCTGGGGTTCCCCCCCGATGCGCCTGGGTGGCAGTTCTACCACCCCACCTCTTGCCGTGTTCTGTCCTCCCAGGACGTCACGTTCGACGAGTCGGTCCCCTACTACCGCCTCTTCCCCTACCGCACTCCGTCCCCCCCCCCCCCCGCCCCCGCTCTTCCTTGCACAAGGTCCCCCCCCGGTAGACCCCCTCCCCCCTCAGGGTCCTGCCCCTTAAGGTGTGTCCCAGGTAGACGCAGTCGAGCCTGTCGAGGTCACTAGTGACTCTGTTGCTGTTGAGGGTGCTGAGCCTAGGGGTGCTGAGACTGGGGGTGCTGAGCCTGGGGGTGCTGAGCCTGGGGGTGCTGGGCCTGGGGTTTCGGAGCCTAGGGTTGCTGAGCCTGGGGGTGCTGAGCCTGGGGGTACTAAGCTTGGGGGTGCTGGGCCTCGGGGTGCTACGCCTAGAGGTGCTTTGCCTGGGGGTGCTGGGCCTGGGGGTGCTGAGCCTGGAGGTGCTCCGCCTGGAGGTTCTCCGGGTGCTTCGTCTCGCCGGGAGCCACTATCTCCACACGAGCTGCGCGAGTGGTTTGCCCGGCGCTGGAGCCGTGCTGCTGGTGCTGGAGGTTCTTCGGCTACTGAGGGTGCTGCTGTAGCGGGTCTCGGAGGTGCTCGTATTGGGAGTACTGGAGCTGCTGGGCCTACGAGTTCGACTGGAGCTGGTGCTGCTGAGGGTGTTGGCGCAGAGACTACCTCGGGCG